TTTTACACTAATTTCTTTTTCTGACAATAAGGAATTTTACGCGTGTTAATACATGTAATCGTCATCCGAGATGCGCAAATTGTATCATATACGTACGTATGTAGTTTTCATTCTTCATCAGCTTGTTTCGTGGTGCGGTGATCCTTAAAAAATTTTTAATAAAGCGTCTGTACTAGAAAACCACAGAGTTCGGGTTCAGGAAATTTAGTTTCAACCTTTGCAGGATCAGGTAAGATTCCTTTTTCGCTGATTACATGTTCCAAGAAGCTTATTGTTTTTTACAGAAGTAACATTTAATTTTAGACCTACCCTCCTTAATTGATCGAAGACTTCCTTTAGGTAAGATGGTTTACGAGAACATATCCATGCCGTCTAGATATACTACAATATAATTCCATAGGATTTCCATGAAGATCTTGTCCATCAACCGTTGGAAAGTAACCGGTGCGTTTGTTAGGTCGAAGAGCATGACCAGAAATTCGTATAGGCCGTGTCTTGTACTGAACTCAGTCTTTTATTGATCCTTCGACCTGTCAGTAGCTGCTGGCGAGATCCAGAGTCAAGAAGTATTTTGATTGTCTGAGGGCGTCTAGCATTTCATCGATTCTAGAGAGCAGGTAATTGTCTTTTTGAGTTTCCGATAGTCGATGCAAAATCTCATCTTCCCGTTCTTTTTTACTAGGACGACGAGATGCCCAGGGGTTGGTGGATGGCTGAATGATCTTATTTTCTAATATACGCTCGATCTCCTCCTACATGAAGTCATGTTCCATTGGGAATGCGCGATAGAGTCGTTGACTCACTAGCGGTCTCTTCCAACAAAACCCATTCTCTACTTTTCACTATAACTACACTTCTCACAATTCCAATAATCTTTACGCATCCTCTAGATATTTTTGTGTTCGCCCTTCCGAGACCTTCCATTCCTTCTGTAAAAAGAGCCGCATTTTCCTCTAACAATACTTCTAATTGTTATTTTGGTTCGTTGATGTCACCAATTTCAAGTTTATTGGTCCGATGCCTTTATCTTTTCCGTAGATTCTCCTAATTTCTTACGGGAGCTGACTGGGAGGAGCTCTCCAATCTTCACTAGTTGTAAGTATATTCCCTGTGCTATCTTATTCCCAGGTTTAATCTTATATTCTTTTGTAACGTTGTGTAGTAATAGTTATATTCCTTGTATATTCTGAGTCGCATACACCTCCTATAACGACCAATCCTTTCTTGGCCAATACGTAATGATCTACTTGCCAACTGTAAATACGTACATTCCTTTTAGTATTTCCAGCACATTCTGATCGGTGCTATTAAGGCTGCCTCGCTGGCTAGAGTCCGTCATCTCTACTGGGGTTTTTCTATCCTTTTCGCTATAATATCTAATATTCGTGGTGGGTGTTTCTGGTTCAAATCCTCCGTCTGTAATAAACGTATTAATTCCCAATCTTCCTTACATAGTTTATGTTTAGTGTCTTCTTTTCCATAGCACCAGCATTTCAATCCTGGTCCTTGCCATTTATCGTTGGCGTTTTTTGATGTTATCGTTTTAAGTTTTTTTATGTTCCCAGATATAACTGCTCTCTTGTGATTTGATTCATTGGTGGTCCTTCTTCCGAACGTTGCCGTATAACCTTGAATTTCCGGTAGTTTAATTTCTTCATCACTTTCCCATTTTTTTCTTCGATTTCCTTCTCGTGGGATTATTATCCTTGAATGTCTATATCGGAAAGTCAGGTGACTCCCAACAAGTAACCAGTAATTGGTGAGTATTATCATCCTATTCAAACATCATCTTCCTTGTTCGATAACGTTTATTTTGTTAACCAGTCGTTCTCCACTATTATTGTATAGGCCTTTGCTTCCATCACTGCCGTGTCGATCGGTATGGTTTGTCCTGCTATCCGTATCGAAAGATCTTTCACCAAGCCCAATGGTTATTCTTTCTGATCATATTAACTTTCGATTTTTATCTAGGAACGCCTTTAATTATACCAATCAACCTGCTATCGATTGT